TGGCCTGGTGGCGCCTTTCACCGACTGTCGCCCCCGACTCCTGCACCAGGCCCTCCGAGGCTGAAACCTACCCCCAGGCCTGCTCTCACCCCTGGAGGAAGCAGCAGTCAGGGCGTGAGGTGAGGAAAAGGGGCTGTCAGGTCCTGTACGGCACTGGGTCCTGCGCTGGGCATGCGGTGACCTGGGCTCGTCCCTGCAAGGGAGGACAGCCCATTTCGCAGGGGAGGATGCCGAGGCTCAGAGACCCACCCTCACACGCACTCAGGTGGAGCCAGGCCCAGAAGAAGGGTGGCTCTAAGGCACAGCCCAGGGGGGCCTCTCAACCCACCCCTCACGAGGTGACCTCTCCACACCCCAGAAGCCAGACTGCCAAGGTGCAGTGGAAACGTTTCTCCCACCAGAGCAGTCCCAGCAGCTGGGTGTGTGCTGTGACCATCGAAGGGCCCTTTGTCAGAAACATCACCCAGGGCCAGATGCTCCCACCCACAGGAAGGAGGGACTGAGATAGGGCCCGGCACCCGCAGCCGGATGGGGCCAGAGGAGGGCTGACGTCAACCCACAGAGGGAGGCGGAAACTTCCTTCAGGAAGCTCCTTGGGACAGGGATTGGGAGGGGCCCGGAGGGGCTGGCTTCAGGTGCTCTCACCAGCCAAAGACATGCAGGCGGGGGGTGGGGGCCTGTGTCCTGGCTGCCATGAGGCCCACCCACACACCTCTGTCCCCCAGCCGTTCACATCGGGGTTGGACGGAGGCCCTGGAGCAGGGTGGCTGCTGTTACTTTACAGACGAGGCTCAGGAAAGCTCAGGGACCTGTGCGAGAAGGAATGTCCTGCAGACCCGCACCCTCTCAGGAAGCACGTGTTACTCAGGAACCGACCCGCCAGCCTTTCCCACGATGCATGACACCCCACCTGAACCTCCACCCAGGTGCACTCTGGGAAGAGGTGCGGGTCTCCCCGAGGCAGCGCAGGACCCCGCACACCGGCCCAGGTCACAGTGGGGATGGGAGGGACCCGTCCACGGCTCACGGCTATGGGATCTGGGGCGGGTCACCCCACTTCTCTGAATCTAAAAGGCCCAAGAACCAAAGGAAAACCATCATTTCAACAGTGTCACGTGACACACAGATGCAGCCCCCGTTCCACTGCCCGCTGGCACACACATTTACCGCCTGGGACACAGGACCGCCCAGAAGTGCCCTACTCATGGGTGCAGATCACATCCAGGTCTTGGCCACCGGGACCCAGGTCTCAGCCCCACGCAGGGGAAGCATTTTCTCCTCCTGCCCCTCCTCCTGGGGCGAAGGACAGCAAGGGGCATGCAGCGTGGCTGGCCGGGGCTTGCTCTGCTTTCAGTGCAGAGTGAAAGGGCAAGTCTTGCTCCAGGGGAATAATGACCTCCGATAGCACAACGAGGGAGGAGACAGGAAAGAAAGGTTTCATGGAACCCTTTTATCTGCCCAACTATCCAATCTGTAACTGCTCGAGGAGAGATTAGTTTGTTCTGCCTCTGCCTGCCGCAGCCTGAGCAAGGCACAAAGTGCCCCATTGTGTCCTCCAGGAGGGACGTGGCGCCGTTGCTGGGCACGGACAGTAGAGCCCGTGCACTCGCTCCCACCTCCGCCCTGGAAGTGAAGGCCCAGCCACCCTCTCTTCTTAGCAAGAGCCTGAGCACGGGCCTCGGCCTTGGCTGGGTGTTGGGAATGAGGAACCCACCGGTAAGAAGCAGGAGACAGCAGGTGAGGGTATACTGGGGTGCCCCTGCCCACCATGGCCCATCCATCTCAGTGGTCTGGGGGCTCTGGGCTCTGCTCCCTAGACTTTTCTCCGCAGCTTCCTGTCTAAGCCACCGTCACCTCCTGCCCCCTACCCACAACTTTGGGGCAGCGGGTCACATCTGAAACCTAACTTGAGTACTGTCACCCCTTTTGAAAAGGCTGGGGCTAACTGCAGAACCTTATGTGACACCTAGGCCTGTGCGCCCCTCACCCCAGCCCAGGGCGGTCCCTGCAGATCCGGCCCGTCACTCACCCAGCCACCCCTCCCACCCTGCGTCACAGGGAGGCCCAACCCCTCAGAAGGGCTTTTCTGGTCTGCACTGGGGGCCCTGCCTGTCCCCCATCTGCGACTCTCCCGCTCCCGTGCCTCTGGTTCTCATGTCCCCCCACCAGCTCTGGATGCAGGGCCGTGGCGGCACAGATGCGGCACATGGGGCTGAGGACAGTTCTGCGGAGGCCAACTGGGAAGGGGTGATCGTGACCTTCCCTGACGAGGAGGCAACAGGCGAGAGGCTGTGCGATCGGTTGAAGGCCTGCGGGACCCTACGGCCAGTGTCTGCACAGCACAGAGTCCCCCTGGGGGCCCAGGGCAGCAAGGAGGGGCCTTTCAGCCCCGATGGAGCAGGGCGCCCATGGTGTGGGATGGGCAGGTGTGCAGGCCAGGCCTGCTCTGCTAGATTTTTGCTGCATTCTCCAGGCCCGGAGAGGGCTGGCCAGTCATTGCAAAACTGGAGCTGGAAGTATCTGGGGCCCTGCTGCCAGGTACCAGCAAGGGGAGGGGCAGCTGCCAAGAACTTTGCGCCTAGTGGGGATACAAAGTCAGACAGCTGCTTCGGGAGAAAGGGGTGGACAGGCTAACAAGCAAGGCATTCATCTGGTAACAAAACACATCTCTTGAAGCCAAACGGGAGCGAGGAATTCTGCAGACGTGGCACTGTAGCCCAAAGCTCAGAAGGGAGGTGCTGGGGCGGGGGCATGGCGGGGGAGGACGTCTCAACAGCTAACGGAATTACAAATGCACTATGCATTCAGGTTGAACAAAAGCTCTTGGCTATCCCTCCTGAAGTTTGTTTTTACAGAAGTCAGGTGCCCTCCTGCATCTTTCCTGGCTCTCTGACGAGAGCAGCTGAGCAGAGGCCGTCACGCCCCCTCCCTTCCCTGCACACCTCCTGGGGGCACGGGATGAACTTTTCTCCTGCTTGTAAAACGTTACTCAGGCCCGCCCACCTCTCTGGGCAACTTCCGAGTGCCCGGGAGCCATGGAATGAGTGAGTCTTGTCTTGAGTGAGGTGATGGAACCCGAGGTCCCAGTGAGTTTCAGGAAGTGGAGTGTCCCACCAGCTCTCGGGTGGCTCTGGCACCCGAGTGACTGAGAATCTCCAGTCAGACACACGCATGGGGGACGGGCTTTCAGCTCCTGAAGGGATGACCTGGGCCACCTTCTAGAGCCACCTGGGAGTCTGGTGGGACGTTCCCCTTGACAATGGTGACACAGGTGGCCAATGCCTACTGTGGGCTTTTGTACAGATTCATGTATTTGATAAAGGCAGTCTGGCGCCGGCCCCAGGAGCTCGTCTCCCTGTCGTAGGTCAGTATAGCCCAGCACTGCGTTCCCCGCAGCCCAGGTCACCTGCTGGGCACAGAGCCCCCGCCCCAGCTGCAGTCGGGCAAAGTGCTGTTTGGCCAGCAGGGGGCGCTGGGAGCAAGGGGGAGGCCCGGCCAAGGCGCTGGCTGCATGCTGGGTGGTGCCGGGCACCGTTCAGTTCACAGCCCACCAGCACAGAAAGCACACAGGAGGGCAGCCTGGACCCAAGGCAGGGCCCCATGCAGGACGAGGTGGTATCCACGTGTCTGCATGTTTTGGTCCGGACGTGCATGGGGTAGGAAGGGGACAGGGCAGCTCCCAGCTTGCTGGGTAGGGGCCTGCCCTGTCCTCTGCGTCCCTGGGGTCCCACCTGCCTTCCCCCACGGCCATGTGGGACCAGGTGGCCTCTCTGTAGCCATGAGCAACTGTGAGTCACCAGAGTTTGCATCTGCAAGGTGCCCACACTCAGCGACAGTGCCACAGCTCGAGGTGGAGCCACCTCCACCTGAGGCTCTGGGAGAAGAGAATGAGGACAGTCCTCTCTGCTCTGCTCCTCGGCTGGCTCCAGCAGGGATGGGGACAAACTCAGAAGGAACTGCAGGGCGGCATCCGCACTGGACTCAAGCACCCTCCTACTCCAACTGCAGCCAGCCACGGGCAGGATCCAGTGCCCAGGGCTGTGCCCCCAGGAGCCGTGACCACCCAAACAGGGACTGCTTATTAAACCCCAGCCCTCCCTCACCGCAGAACGGCACAGTGTGGAAATGGTAGAGCCTTTGCAGGCAGGCACAGAACACAGATCTACGGGGTGTGTGTTGCAGGGTCCAGAGACACCCAGCAAAATGCCAGCTGTGTCAGCCAATGTCAACAGAGCACACACATGCCAGGGGTGGGTCTATTTCACACTCATTTTCCTCGTTATTCCTCCCAGCAGCCCCAAGAGACAGCAGCTCAGCAAAAGGCTCAGAGAGGGTGAGTGATTTCCCCGAGGCTGCACAGGACACGAAAGCCTGGGCCCCCCAGCCTTAAAACTTTCGCGCCTGCTGGCCCTTGCTTGCTCCTGAATGTGAATGGTGGGCACATCTGAGTGATGGGCTTCCAAGGTTTGTTTTGTTTTCCGTGCTTATCCGATCTTTATAAGCAGACAGAAACATGGAGACAATCCCACCCTGCCGTGGAGTGATGAATAAATCGCAGCACGACCAGGCGCACGGCCCTGTTGGGGGAGGGTTGGCGGTGACAGCACAAGGGACGCTGACAGACCCCGGCTGAGATGGTGCGGGGAGGTCAGCACAGGAGGCACGGCCCCCGCCAGGGCTGGAACGTCAGACATCCTCCGCAGGTGAGGTTACAACGCATCAGCGGGGCACTCGAGACTTACAGACATCACTGCACAGTAAGTGCAAACCGCCAGAGTCCCTCCTGGGGGTGCCCATGCTGTCCCACGGGAGCACTCCTGTGTCCCCTCTGGGTCAGATTTCACTTGCTGGGTAATTTTCGCAGAGGGAAAGCTCCCCGTTGTGTGGGACCGCAGAGCTTTGGACTGGGAGCCATTTGGGGATGGGGACCCCGTGCCCCGTGAAGGATACACAGGCACGGCCTCGAGGGGCTCCCGGTGGGGTGTGGGGGCCATACTCACCCTTCCCGATCTGGACGAAGCCCAGCAGGATGATCAGAGCCAGGGCCAGGAGCTTGGCGGCGGCGAAGGCATCCTGGACCCGGGTGGCGGCCTTCACGCTGTAGCAGTTCACGGCCGTGAGCAGCACTGGAGGGACAGAGGGCAGTAGTGAGTCCCACAGGCAGACACCAGCTCCAGGGGGAGGCTGGGAGGTGACCACCCCACCTCGCGCCAGCGCCAGGGCTGGGTCCACCAGAGAAACAAGCTCCTGAACCAGCTCCGGTCCCACACCAGCCCCTAGGCAGGCTCTGATTTTCTGGGGCCTGTTTTGATAAGGTTCGCAGTTCTTTTAGGTCTAAGGGCTAGATCCCAGGTGCCTGTCAAGGGCTATAAAGGACCTTCCCTTACTCCCTCACTGTACCAGGCCAGAGCACCACCTGCAGTCAGGGCTTCCAGTGGCGGCGCTGTCTCCAGAGACCCAGGTGAGCACGGCGACCCTGCCACTCGGAAGGTGCCCACTTCATCTTCTTGCACCTACTCAGCACCCTGGCCTGCCGGTGAGACCCACGCACAGCCCAGCTGCCAAACTCCAAGAGGGATGGAGCCCTTTCCTCAAAGTGGGGTGTCCCGCTACCCTGAAACTACCCGGCCAGTCACCTGGGACAATGGGGCTGGTACAGCATGGGAGGGGCTGCAGGGGCCTGTGATGAACAGAGCTGCACATGCTGAAACCGAAAACAGCACCGCGTGCTTCAGAAGCCTGAGTCCTGAGGGACTCCACACAGATGGCTGGAACGCCTGCCCCAGAGGGCGCTGCTGGCACCCATTCAGTTCACAGCCAGAGCCCCTCCTGGGGGTGCCCACGCTGTCCCACGGGGGCACTCCTGTGTCCCCTCTGGGTCGGATTTCACTTGCTGGGTGATTTTCCCAGAGGGAAAGCTCCACGTTGTGTGGGACTGCAGAGTGTTGGACTGGGAGCCCCTTGGAGACGGGGACCCCGAGCCCCGTGAAGGATATACACAGGCACGGGCTCGAGGTGTCAGGTCAGGTACGCTCAGACAGGTCTCCGGAGACCAGCAAATCCTCCAGGGCCCTGTAAGCCCCCAGCTCTAGGCCAGAGAGTGCGTTAGTGTGTGTGCTGGGGTATTTGTTGAGATACGCAGGCACGCTGAGCTGCTATTCAGGGATCTGGGAGCTGGTGGGAAACAGCCACCCCCCTAACTTAGAATGAAGTAAATCACATTAACCCAGAGGCACTGACTCCATGACACCCCTCACTGCCGGCTGCACTACCCTTCACTCCTCTGTGCCCACAAGGTATTTGTTGTTGTCAGGAGCTTGAAATCTGGGAGCGTTTACACCCCAGAAGTGATCAAAGCCCACCACAGGCCACCCGCACAGTGCTGCTCAGGCTGCAGGCAGGTGAGAGCACGGGAAAGGCCACGGCTTCTTCTCTTTCTGCACGGGAGGCATGCTCAGAAGATGCTGCCAGCCGTGGCCTTGGGGACTCCAGTGAGCGGCTTTTCCCCAGCGGAACAAATCCTATGAATTTTTAGTTTGAGCAACAGACCCCAAGGAAAGACATCCATGCTGATTAACCGACCACACCAGGCGGGGAACACACAGGACCTGTCCTGGAGTGAGGAACGGCCGCCAGCCTCCCCTCTCATCTCTCGGGAAACTAACCAGCCCGCCACACCTCCTGCTAGGGACCAGGAAAGCATGGCTGACACATGTCTGAAAGTAGGTGTGTTCGCTGCCATTCCTAAAACGAAGAAAGTGTGCAACTCCCCTCCACTCCTCACCCAAAGTGAAGCAGTGAGGAGTGGGAAAATCCCCTTGTCCCAGGGCTCCCAGGGACACGGAAATGTTGCCAGTCCACAGTCTCCAGTCCAACCCTCGGGGCTCAGCTGGGTTGCTCAAGGGTCTGGGCAGTTCCTTCTGCACGGCTCCGGGCGAGAGGCAGGTTCTGGCTTGACAGTCCCATTTACTTAGGGGTTGGAGGGTGACCACAAAAGAAGCCGGGCCTCAGGGACCTGGCCGGCAAGCTCGGGCTTTCCGGGCTTTCCGGATTCCGGATTCGCAAGAGGCTGGCTGATTGCATCACTCACCCCAGAGGGAGGTGGAGGAGGTGTGGCCAAGCTGCAGAGGAGGCTAGGAGGCTGCCTTTCCCCAGGAGACAGCAGGCACGCAGCCGCCACCAAACTCCAGAAACCAGACAGGCGCTGCCGGCAATGGGTGCTGCCCCGCGGCTGTCACCTCTGCTCCGGGGCCGGAGGGGGTCCAGGAAAGGCAGGGATTTGCCCAGAAGTGCTAGCCATGGGCTGTCCTGCCACACTGACATGGTGCTGGGCAATGACGCCATCACAGCTGTCACCGTGGGTGGGACAGATGCCAGGCCCCCCCGCCACACCCCCGCCTGCCCAGTCCCAACCAAAAACAGTCCTCAGGGGCCAGTGGGTGCCAGAGAGAGCGCTCACCGGATCATCTCCAGACATTAAAAATAACCACGGAGCCGGCAGACAGAAGGCGCTGGGTCTTGGAAGTCAGGTGGGAAGCGCAGGGCCACAGAACAAAGGGGACCTTAGCATATTTATTCCTTTTATAACAAGAACATAAATTTTAATGTTTACTGACGTTGGGTGATGAGTAAACAAAGCCTTCATTATTCTCCACAATGTCCTTTTTTAACTTTTAGGATGAAATAAAATCTTAAACAAATACATGAATTCATGTGGGTTCAGCACTTTCTGGCTTTAAGGAGGAAGTAGTCACGGGGGAAGTCGGAGGTTTCAACCTCAGCCCCCGTGGGGACCTGCCCCTCCCCAGCCTCAGCGTCCACACCTCTGAGGGGCTGCTGGCTGACCCCAGGGCAGGGAGATGGGCAGGGCTGTGTACCGAGTGGGAGCGGCGGTGGAGGGGGGGGCCGGTGGTGGTGAGCACACACGGTCGGCAACCCCAGATAAGTGTGGCTGTGCTGGCCCGCGGGGACAGCTGGGCCAGGAGATAAAGCCCTGTGGCTTGGCTTGATCTGCACATAGTCAGGCACGCTGAGCTGGGAGCCCCTCTCAGACTGGTGTGCTCTTCCCCGTGGTCATCTGGCTGCCTCCCACCTGGCTGGCTGGCCGGGGTCCCTTGGAAAAAGTGCATTGGAGGAACCCCTGCCCTCGTCCCCTCTTCACCTCCACCCCTATCAACCCCCAGGGGCAGATGCGGTATCCTGGGGAGGCTGCCACCACCCGGCATGGGTTGGGGGGCACCCCCACCCACCCCCTGTGCCTCCCCATCTCTGGAGTGAGTTCCCAGAGATACCTCACAGACAGTGCAAGGAGGCGCCTGAACAGGGAAGGCCCACAGACAGGACCGGACAGGTGCGCACCTCGACCCTCACCCTGCTCCCTCCCAACTTGCATGTGCAGCCCCCTCCTCCGACTTGGAAACCAGGAGGCTGCCTTCTCGTGGCCCCTGGCCTCTCCCCTGGGGGAGATGATTCTGAGGAGGACCCGAAGGCTCCCTAACCCGAGGCACCTCCCTGCCTGGTGCCTCCTGAACTCACTTCTGCAGCATCTGAACCTGTCTGCCTCGCCTGATGCTGGCATCTTGGTCGCCTGGTCCCAATTCCATCCAGCTCCCGATAAAATCCTGCCAGACACAGGGACGCTCCTTCAGGGTCCAGTGTTGGAGGACAGGTCCCGCAGGGTCCAGTGTGGGAGGACAGGTCGGGGGAAAGACCAGTAACAGGGGTGTTCGATGTGGAGAGCAGGTGAGAACCACAGCCCCAGCTGGGTGGGGACCCCAGGCCCCAGGAACCCTCCCCACACAGACTAATGCTTAATGCTTTCCAGTGACAAATGTGTAGCAGGTACGGAGCATGCGTGGATAAGGCTCAGGCCCAGCCGTAAGGAAAATCCTCTTTGATGGCCAGAGAGGCCGACCCCTGAGCCACCAGTCCTCACCTGCCCCGCAGCTGGACAGAGCAGTGAGTACTGAGGGCTCAGCACCTCGGCCTGTGTGTAAGTGGGGGTACCCAATGAGCATGGGGTTTAGGAAATCGGTATCTTCCTCCCTGGCCCCTTCGAGCCTAAGCCTAGCCACTCTGAGTACCCCAGGCACACGTCAAGAGTCCCTTCCACCCCTTTCAGGCCCAATAGGAAGAGGTGCTGCGGTCAGGCCCCCAGGGACTTCCTCCAGGAGTCTTTGGAAAGAGAGCTGCACATGGTTTCAGAGTCTGTTGATACAATGGGCCTGCTCTGGGGCAGAGATGGTCCCAGGCCTGTGAGCCTTGCTGCCTTAGGCAAATGAGGATCATTTAACTAGAACTGCCGGAGACAGCACACAGGAGGTGGCTGGTGGCTTCGCTGGTGGCAGGAAGGCCAGGCAGCCTCGTCCCCCAGAGCACACTTGGCACAGCAGTTGGCCCTGGGCGAAGAGAGCAGCAGCGGACTCTGGCCCGACACCGGTCCCGTCCCACCCAGCTAGCCTGCAGCCCTGAGCACAGCCAGCACCTCTCAAACCTGACACCCAACCTTGGAGCCTGGGACCCCTCTGCAGCTGGCTGGGGGTCCTGAGATAGCTTCTTTGTTGGAACCCACTCGGTACACACAGAGCCCCGAACTTAGTGGGAGCCCAGTGAACATGGGGCTTAGTGAAACCAGTGCCTTCCTCCTTGGCCACTGCCGAGTCTCAACGTCCCCGGCTCCGAGGGCAAGCCTCCACCTTCTCCACTGATAGAAGGCCCCACAATCTCCCAGGTCATCCCCCGGTGGGGCATGTAAAAGCAGTGGCAGGGGTGGGGAGTGGCGGAAACCCAGAGCTTCTGATGAGGCAGGTGTGGGGTGCGGGGGCGCACATCTGCATAGAACAAGCTTGCTTCTAGGGAGGCTGGCACTACTGGCCCACATCCCCCAACCCCACAGACACGGTGCCTTCCTGATGGACACGACATTTCCACTGGGGTCCAGAAAATTAAGGTGTCTGACCCTGTGACCCCTGTCCCCACCCAAGGCCAACCTCTCCCCAGAATAGGCTGGAACGCTGAGCCCGCCCATGCAGCCTCCCCATTGCTGGCCGCGGAGAGAGGTCAAAGTGGTCCGGAAACCCCAAGGAAACAGCAGTTCAGGGGCAGGGCAGCAAAGGCAGTGCCTCCA